ATATATATATATATATATATATATATATATATATATATATATATATATATATATATATATATGTTTGACCTGCAATATATGAAAATATTTAGATTTAAAGATTGTGTTAGTATATATTATATATAAGGGTATTTATGTATGCCAAGTGACAAGACTTTTTGTCGGTTGAATTTTTTCGTCGGTTATGGTTTTAGTAGAGAAATAATTGATGGAATTTTCAAATCAATAAATGCGTGCGCCTTGAGCCTTGAGCCTTGATGTGACGATTGTGATCTTCATATTCGGTTCTCATTTAATCCACTTTGAAAAATCAAATTGTACGTCCAAAACCAAAAGTGCTTTGCTTGAATTATGACATGTTTTCATCTAAAGATAGTTTATAATTATGACATGTTTTCATCCTTTTGTTTGTGCATGTTTACAATAAGTTAATTTATTATAGCCTATTTTAATGGTTTTACCAAACAGTAAATTGTAATAATCTCAAAGAAAAACTAGTATATAAGCTTATTATACACGTTAACTACAATCTAACAATGGTATATATATGTGGATGGTAATTGGTTGAGTGTCCGACGAGCCATCATCATAATAGTGGACCCATGGTGTATTTCTATCACGACAATAATGTTTAGAAATTGTGAAGTTTGTACCTTTTGTTAATGGGTCTATCTCTCTGGTACGGAGGACAACAAATCGGATTGACATGTTTAATTAAACAATTTCGGTCTTAATGTATTTAATGAAACATGTTTGAGATTTTTTATACAATCCAACATTTTAGGTAAATGGGTTTAGCTCATGTTAAACCATTTGTGTTTTTCAATCCAATCCAATCCTAATGCAACATATGATTGGGTCATCGGATCTTTGTACGTGATGTTTCGTTATAAAATCAAGTACCATTTGTTTTAAATATAACTACATCATAATTTAAAAAATATATATCATATTGACATATACTAATACACCATATTATAAATATTTGTCTTTGAAACTAATATAACAAATTTTCTTGTGGCATATCATATCATAAAACAACACTTTTTTTCCATCAAATTCAATAGTTTGCTTGTTAATAACCATCTAGAAATTAAATATTCTCATATGTTTTCTTCCTACTATCTTCCCACCCATATTAAATGGTGACACATGGATTAAATTACTATTAATTTCATTAAATGCGTCATTAAATGTGACACATGTTAATATTTGATATGATATGAGGATGACTAAGAATAAAATGTAGGAGAATATTTAATTTCTCATAACGATCATATGATAATTGATGAACCTGACATCGTTTTGTTTAACAATTGTATCACATAAAAAACTATCTTGATATATATATTTACATTAAAAAAAAGGAAATATTAGTTACGAAGAGTTTAGTAAATTGATTCATAAAAGAAACATATTTATTATTTGATGTTGATAAACCTTAAGTTGTTACTATTTTATGTATAGTGTATAGCTCATTTAGTTCATTCATGTATAACTCTTTTATAATCCATGTTTTAGAACTATGAGTATTCTTAAAGTTGAAGCATGTGAGATTTGATGATGCTTAACTCTCAAGTGACCATTACTAAACCATTTTACGATTCGTGTATTTGCCTATTTATTGAGATCACGGAGAGAAGTTTATTCACGAGAAAATAGTATCTTATATGAAATCAGAGTGTAATACTCTCCCTAAATCTCAACATTCACTATCACTTTCTCCGACAACTTCCTTCTCTAACCCTAGTTGTTGATCTTCGATTATGACAGACACCTCCAATATTGGAAATCCTTATAGCATCACAAATGTAATGTTTTATATACTACTCATTCTTAACCTAGATCGCTTGAATTGAACCTTGTGGGTTTTATTTCAAACACATTGCATGAGCTTTGGTGTCGTGGATTACCAATGAAAAGTCTTCTACTAAATGTGATTATACCGGATGAAACCATATCGATTCTAGTGTGAAATGTGGATCTATGTAACAATTTTGCAATTTTTGTTGCAAATAATTTTGAAGAATAACTTGCATGTCTAAAAATATGGGAAACCCTTGAAACCCTATTTTAATACAATAAAATGCCAAGTGTGACGTCCTAAAAATACATAATAATTTTTTTAAAAAAAATAAGTCAAAACCATTCATTCATTATTCCAAAGACGATCAGAGCCAAAGTATTCTCAAAACATCATAGTAAAATCATAAATAGTCAAAGCAGAATAACTATCCAGGGGATGCAGTACGATCAAGCCGGTCCTTCCTTTTGAAACCAGAAGTAGCTGGAAATATTTTAAACATAAACCGTAAGCACAAAGCTTAGTGAGTTCCCCAATATATCGCATGTCATACATATACGTCAACTCAAAGCTGTACCGGGTCTATTTCACCCCCCGAGTCTATTTCAACTCAAATGTCAGCTCAAGGTTGTACCGGGTCTATTTCACCCCATGTCTATTTCACCTTCGAGTTTATTTCAACTCAAATGTCAGCTCAAGGTTGTACCGGGTCTATTTCAACCCCGAGTCTATTTCAACTCAATCGATATTTTTCAACCGTATGGTTCTATTTCACCCTCGGGTCTATTTCACCCTACATACATATAACAAACATGCATACATGCATACAACAAGAGTCACAAAGACAACAAGCACATACAACCCTAGTGTCCTACGGTATAGTGAGCAAACTCACATGAATTACTCAACAGAAGCCCATCAGCTACCTCAGTATCAGAACAACGAACCCAAACTTCCTAAAACCAAACTAAGACCAATCCTTAGTCAAATACTCAATTCTACCCAAGTTTGATCAAAAGTCAAACTGGTCAAAAAGTCAACGGACAGCTTAGTCAAAGTCAATGTCATGTCGTGACCATTCCTTGGTCACGTCGTGAGAATGCAACGACAAAACAATCGCGATTCTGGACACCGTCACGTCGTGAAAATCTTCATTAAGTGCTTAATCTCTTCGTACCAAGGCCCATAACCTCATATCTAGTTCCTAAATAGCTTCATAATGGATAAAGTTTCCAACTTTATCCATTAGGATGGTCTAAACAACCAAGATCTAGTATTTAAGTCTCAAAGGGACCAAGAATGCATCTTTCTCAGCTAAATCCATTAAGTCCAAGTCTCCAACCTTCAGATTGAAATCAACATGATGTTTAGATGGATAAAGTTTCCAACTTTATCCATAATAATGTCTCAAGCTTTCAAGATCTAAACTTTAATATACCAAAATAGCCTAAATGACCAAAATAACTTGCATCGCTGAAAGGGAAGGCAAAAGATCAAAACTTTCCTAGTCCATGAGGTCCAAGAAAACATTCTAAACTGATCAAAAGGTGTTGGAGTCCAAATTTGAAACATACAATGTTATTGGGTCCTTGGAGAGTAATAAAGTTGCAAACTTTATTCCCAAATCTCACTCAAAACTCATTAAAATGGACCAAAACACCAAATACACTTAGATCCAGAGATGAAATGCAATAACACTTGGAACTTTATAACTTACAAAGGTCTAGAGGTAGATGAAAGTTGAGATCTTCAATTTCCAAGCTTCAAGGATCAATCTTGCATGAAAACATTGCTCCAAAACCACCAAAAGCTCCAAAAATAGATGAGAGAGGAGATGGGAGGCTCAAATTTTGAAAATGGAAGCTAGGGTTTCTCCCAGGAGATTTTAGATATGATGAAGGCTAAGAAAATACCCTAAAACATAAATCGTTACCTTTAAATACCTTGAAAACCCTAAAAATTTTGTGGAATTTGGGTTGCATAGTTCTCATGTCGTGAGAATATATTCTCACCTCGTGAGGACTCTCACGTCGTGATAATGACTTCTCACCTCGTGAGAACGAGTTTTCAACCAATTTCACTCCAACTTCAAACAATCATAACTTCTTCGTTTCAACTCCGTTTTCAGAGTTCTTTATATGCACAGAAAGGTATTGACAAGCCCCACTAACCTATCTAATTACTTTTGACTTAAAACGCCTCAAACTAAAATCCTTAATTCATAAAAGAAGTCTGAAACATCACTTTTCTCATTTTACCCGTTGACTCCAACACACAACCCAAGGCTTTAATCGCTTATCCAACACTATCATCATCCAATAAGGTGTAAACCCCATTCCCTTGAAGCCCAAGGCCTTTGCTTGATCCATTTATTATCTACATTCCCGGAATAAGAATCTTATCGAAACAGGATGTTACACCAAGGTTATCCAATTGGATATTAAACTGCAAAACATCACTATTAGTGACTGCTCTATCATGGATTATTGCATGGGGATCTAGAGGATTGTTGACATGCTCAATAAATTGATATGTCTGTTATTGAGAAAACCTTATTACATGTACCATTAAGGTCTCTCATTGAGATTGGATTATGTTGATATCCTTATCCGTCATAGCTCGTCGCATCCCACCTTTTTAGAGACTTGGTTTTTGTCTCATTCTCAAAGTGAAATTGATAAATCGGTTTCGTTCTTTTCAAGCTTCACAATCTAATAATTCTTCTTCCATAATTATACACTGACCATCAAATAGTCTGGACATGATCGGTATCTTGCGGTGGAAACAATTGTTCGGGTGACACTCCAAACAATCAAGGTGGCAGATGATCTTTGAATAATGGAAATTTTACGTTGACCACAACGCTACCCTTGTAGTTTTCATCAAAATCTATTTATAGATAGGAGTATTAGTAAATGTCATGGGCCTACCCCATATGAATATCTCACTTCTAGGTATAACCCGCATCAATCAATCCTTCTACCAACGTCGATGGGCCAACAACCCATGCTTAATCAATCCTTCTACCAACATCGATGGGCCAACAACCCATGCTTTATAACTAATTGTCCCAACAACGACTAGAAATCCTAGCCCATAACCCAATTCATGCATACTTAAACAACAACGGGCCTCAACCTCATGATTAATTCATCCATCCATCAAACCAATCCAACCCAACTT